AATTGCTATCGCCTGGTACGCGGAAGAATACTCTCAGATTTGGTACCACCCCAAGGGCCAAGGCAAGGATTCCGTCCGCAAGGAAGGGGAGAATGATGGGGAACTTTTTGTTGAAGGTAATTTCTTTCTTGGAGACGGCTGATGGCGTCGAGGGATTTTCCGACGGTCGAAGGGGTTGAACGCTGCATCCTGGCAAGAGCCTCAGTGTCACTGTATCTTGAATGAATTCCAAAAAAACACAAGTAAATGTACGGAGGCAGTCTCGATCTCAGATATGTTGGGTGGTTTCCCTCGCAAGTGGGTCTCGGGGTCCTCGGGAGAGATGTGATGAGAAGAACGCAAAGTAGCGAGCCTTTGAATATGCTTTCACTGTTACTACATGGGTCGGTCAGAGCATGGGTCATAGATCTAGAGGTGATAGTGACTTTACGGATTTGGATTTTTTCGTGAACTGTTTTCATTACTCGACTTTGGGCCCCAACAGCCACCGTTGCTCCAAAGCGTTACTGTCGAAGGGATGTCCGAGAGATGTCGTGGACGAGTTGATAGGAGAGACCGTCGAAACATGTTCAGAGTGGGCGAACGCCACGCTTTTGTCCTTTTGCCGGTCTCTCATAATGTGCGGGACGACCTTGAATATTTGACAGCATCTCGATTAAGATTGCCTTTAAGTGTAAGAAGGGGCAAGTGTAAAGGAGCCTACGTAGATCGATTCTGTTATAGATATTGACATCTAAGAATCTACGATAAAAGAGCTTACTTTTTGGCATGTCGTCAACTGCACGACAGGAATCCGACGCTTGAAAATGAAGCCAGAACAATGTGATTGAGCTGTTTTCGTCTTCCTTGCCTGGCGTGGACGCACGATATCTGATACTAGATTTTGTCAAAGACTGAGTACTAAGTACTCAGCGCTCAGCTCTGAAGCCTTTCCTTTGCTAGATGAACGAGAACTCGAAGGAGATCTTTCTGCGTGACCATTTGCATACCGTTCGTAGCTTTTGTTCCTTTTGAAAGTTTATTGTCAGTCTGGATGTAGAAGTTGTAGGATAGCCAATAGTAAAACTACGTCCTCTGTTAGGTGGAAATTAGCAGAGCGTAGATGATTACCATGGAAAACTTACCGGTCCAAGGAAACACTACTCCGAATTCCAAAGACTGTGTAACGTGTTAAGAGGCTGAAGTGGGTGGAGGAAAGCAAGCTGACAGCGTTCAATATACTACATAGGCGCTCTACGGCATCATTCGTACCAAGAAAGACTGAAAGTATATGATGGAAGATCGTGCGAGGTTCTCGGGTTGGATGTAGGGAGTTGCAGCTTGCAAGGGCGCGGCGACGCTCCTGTGCGATAGCGTGGCACATTTTAGGCAGCCACATGCTCGAAATCAGCTGCTTCCATTCAGAGGGCTGTCCTGTCCAGCTTGACTTTTTCTCAAATCTCTACACCTTCCATCAATGACTCGTGTACAACACACCTTTCTGGACCGTGCCGGGTAATTCACAAAAATGGTGCCAAAGCTGTTATCGATGGCCACTGATATAAAGTCGCAGTTTACTTAACCGTCTTTTGCCTTACGGGCTCATACATTGAAGAACTCATACCTTCTATCCCTATTTGACGCGTTACGTGGTCAGTATACAATATTTGTTTGACAATATTCGGTCACCTCAATTGACCCCCGCCCAGTTTCAATCCCAGTTCAATCCATTTCGCCCCAGGCCTTAGCGCTTAGCCCAGTGGGATGACCCGACGTAAGCGACGAAGAAATCCTCAAAGACCAGGACATCATCCAGGACCAGGATCTGGGCATCCTGCAGTACCAGGGCATAGTCCAGGACCCAGTGGGCATCCTCCAGGAACTTTGGCCTCGGCATGGCATCCTCCAGGACCAGGGCATCCTCCGGAACCAGAGTATCCTCCAGGACCAGAGCGTACATCTCCAACAGTAAGTGTATTTTCACTAGAAGCCACAATCTCGAGAACACCCTCCTCTAGATGTTTCCAGGATGTGGACCCGCGGAGTTCAATTACTGTACTTTCAATGCAGTACAGGGGTCTCTGTACAAGGCTGCTACTCACAACACTAACCACAACGGTATCTCTGCAAATGTTCCTATTCAGTATAACTTTAACTTTACGGTGTCGATTACTGTTACTAAAGAAAGTTCGATAATAATGTACGTCTTTTTGTCACTTGCTCACAGATATAGATTTTTTACAAACGAAGATCCTCGCTCTTCATTTTTTTGGAGATACGGGTACTAGGATGATAAAAGAGTTTTCACTTCATGACCAACACACTATACCACACCACACAATTATACCAATATACCACACTACACAATATACCACGCATCATAACAAGTTGGACATAGGTCATATACAAAGGCCGTTTTACACTCCTTTACACCACGCTCTTTTAATTGGTGTGAAGTGATTTTTTTTCTTCCTGGTACGGGTATATCGCGGTGGGTTATAACTTTCGAACATACATATGTGCATAATCATTTCTGATTCATTTCATCACGGTACATCGCCTGTTTACTCTGACTCATTTCTCTACCCGTTACTCTGATTCGTTTCGCTACCCGTTTACTTACTCTTGATTCACTTCTGTTCACTCAACTATGGCCCGCCGGGCGACTGTGGCGGACCAATCCCCCTAGTAGCCTTATATAAGGCGAATTCATCAATTCTCAGGCTGTCGGCTGCGTTTATCATGAGCGCCGACCTGCGCCGACTCTGCAGTTTCACAGATTATATTCACAACAACTCAGCGCAATCATCATATTGATACATCTGCGTAACCTTGTCCACTCCCCTCCCTCGAGGCTCTGATACTCATCCTGGCCGAATATGTGCGATGCTTGCCAAATGATCCGAAGGTGCTGCACGCACATCTTTGATTGCCGCGGTAAAGCTCGACGTTTCCCCAGATCCCTCGTCGCCTACACGGCCAGACGCTCGGATGCACTTGGGTTCTGCCGATACCGGCAGTGCCTGGGCCAACATATAGCCTAACGTTGCCGGACACTCGCTCCGTGATTTTCCTCGCACGAACTTAGCCCCCACTCCGGCCCGACAGATATATCTTTTTGCCAGAGACGTCTCCAGTTTTCCAGATAGCTGTCAACTATAATCTACTGATTACCGGTCACTGGCACCGCTGATACAGGCTCTCGTGTCCATGCTCCCAATCGAACGAAACGTCGCCGGGGTATGTGATACAAATTTACATATTACTCTCTATCCACTCACCGATGGTCAGTGCCATACTGCGCGAGCTTCTCGTTTCCATTGGTTTCGCGTACTGGGCTCTGTGTCCCTGCGGCTCTGGCCCTCATTAACATTTTTCCTGTCTTGTTTCATTTATCTCATTTCATTCTCCTATTCTCATAAGTTTAAATACCTGAGAGCCGCGGTAGCACTACAAATTTTCCTCTGTCTAACTTGTCCGTGTACGCTCTCGGGTATGTTCATTGTTCAAAGCCTTGGCCTTACCTATCAAGTTTTCCTCTGTCCAACTTGACTGTGTATACTCTCAGCTGTATCGTTTGTATATTCTTTTTCGCTATCCTCCCTCGTGCCCTTATCAAATAGTTTGTCTATTTCACTCATGTACACTACGCACCCTAGTTCACTCAATACAAACAAACTGGCAGGGAGTCACTGGGTGACTCTCATGTTCGTTGAGCGTCCCCAATCGGATGAAACGGCGTTGTGGAAGTGCTAGCTACCCCACTAGTAACTAGTGCCTTATACTTTACAAATCGCCTTACAACTTCAAAGACTTTATCATTCCGCTTTGACCGCTTCTCTCTTTCCCTTTACTTCCACCATCGATTCTCTACTTTATCTCCCCTTTCTCCCTGCGCCTTCTGGACTCGAGGATCCGCCTGGAAGATGTGTACGCCAAAGAGAAGCGAGTATTTGTGGGAAGTGGAAAGATCTAGAGACGGCGGAAATGGCGAACGTTCGAACGTTCGTCTTGCATTCCCTCTGCACACTTCAAATACTCTTTCTACTCTCCGATCCCGCGATCTGGACCGTTTCTCTGCTATCATTGGCGAACTCTTGGAATCACCGTGCCCTCCAGGACTGAAAGAACTAGTCGTATACCTCAGTGAATACGAGGAATTCTCTAATCAGGCCTATAGTTGTTAGTTCGATGGTGGCATCAATACGGCTTGGCCACAGACATCCTTCATCGATGTCATCCTTTGGTCCAGCGGCTCATTTTAATACATCCCTCTACACTGAAGACGCGGTCACCCCAATGACGAACCTTAGCGATCCTTCTGCGCACCCCCGAGCTAGATTCCTCCTTTTACCAAGCTCACTCGAGTCGTCTGCAGCACGTTCGGAACGGATGTCTGTGGATCCGCTGTTGAAACCCTGTTATAGCTATACTGCGTGGGCCAGATACACGATTCCGACATGTTGCTCGTTCCAAGATCGAAGTACCTCAAGTTGAGGGTATCTAGCGAATAGTTCGATGACGATCAGCCAATTATTGATATGGTTCTCTCTCTCGCTGGATGCCGGATTCGAATCTGGCCACTATCTGGCCTCAGATATTAACTGGTATTGCGTGGTTGAGGACTGTGTAATCAAAAATGTGGAACTGGTTGTTGGACGAGAAGGTGAACGGGCTGTAGCATTTCTGGAATCTGGATCGGTACTCTCATTATCACGGAATCTGGCGTAGCATTCAAGGGGGGCCACTGACTCTTTTGATCCTGCAATGGATATGCTCAGGCTGCTTATGGATTAACATTCAAGGAGGGCCAAGTCCGGATTTGAAGTTTGAACGGGCGTTTGAGCGGTTTGCAAAGCAGAAAGTGAACCTGTGGACCATTCATTATAAAGGAGTAGAGTAAAAAGGAGAGGAAGGAGGGCAGTGAGCTGCGGACTCGGTATTTAACTCCAAATCGTCGCAGGATAATCTCCTGTACTCAAGTAGGCTAAAAAGAACGGGGCACATATATGTTACTCCATTGGACAAATCCGGATTTGAACCGGAGACCTTTCGCAAGGGCATAGAGTCTCATGATGACGTCATGCAAAGCGAACGTGATAACCCCTACACCATATGCCCAATATCAGATCAGAGCACCTGGGAGTGATAGCCTGTTACTGCAGTTGGGTTGAGCAACATTAGCGTATAATACTTCCTGCCAGTCTCAAAGCTAATACTAGTCTATATGAAGCATACAATTAAATCAATAAGTAGCAAAAGAGCACGTTCCTGATATGATTCCTTGCTTTGGCATTGCCTAATTTATACAAGTACAGAAGAAGAGGAAAAATTAAGTATATTATACGGCGAAATTACAAGGGTATGTACACATGTATTACAACTAGAGTGTATATTATTGCGCGACTTCATTCTTCATCCTCATCCAATAACCAAGAGTTGGATTCCAACGACTCTGTCCTCTGGAAGCTGGATGAACCCTTCGAATTCTGCCGTCGTTGACCAGTCACGGTGTTGTTTACCGCGCGTCTATCATTCGTAGGAGCGTTGGCTTTGCTAGAATTCGCGCTGCAAATCAAAGTTGCTATTAGTTGGAGGTTGGTATTGTAGGATACAAGGAGACTTACGGGCCGGCGTCATTTTTTGTTGACCTCCGGTTTAGAAACTCGAGTGGTGAGATACCAAGTTCATCATTCCACGAAGCCGACGGAGCCAAACGCGATGTCCTACTTTCTACTTCTTCAGTCCTGCTACTGGTAGAAGTCGATGAAGCCGAGCTCTTTGGGGTAAGGTCGGTATTGAACGAAGACGATGGTGGTACCGTTGAACGGGAGTTGGGATAAGGAGAAACCATCTCGATACCGGGTGACCCCATCACAGAAGCATTCCGCATTTTCTTCCTTGTTCGCCGTTTGGGACCATCCGAACCTGAGTCTGCTGTAGACGAAATGGCAATCGCAGAGTCTGCAGAACTCGCAGCACTGGTGGGCTTCGAATAAGATTCAGGCACGGGGGAGCGAGTCTGGAAGGTATCGAAAAAAGCCGCCACCTCAGCCATAGGGTCGTCCATAGGTAGTTCGTCCAAGTCGTCCATAGACATATAGTGATCGGACCCAAGAACGTCTTCGGCAAAGTCGGGGGATGATTCTTCCGCATCGACCGAGACCGTATCCCAAGTTTTTTGGATAGCCTTCGGCTTCGGTCGAGGTTTGGGCTTCGGCCTCTGTGGCGAAGATACTTGGACACCGGGTTCCAGCGACTCCTTCTTTCCTTTTCTTTTCTTGGTCTTTGCCTGTTTCTGCTGCATCGCCTCTTCCTCTTCCTGCTCCTCTTCCTTTTCAAGTTCCAGTCTGCGTCGGCGAGCCTTGTCCCTTGCCATTCGATCAGCCACGCTCAAGTCATTGTCCATGTCATCCTCAACATCGGATTGATACTTGTTTTTGCCTTTCCCATTCCTTCTCTGTCCCCTCGTTTGGTTTTTCGAGCTCCCTCCGTTACTTGCTTCGCCAGTATCTTCCGGAAACATCGCCACACCGTACGCCGTACTGTCTCGAAGAATTTTCAGCGCCCGACGTGAACCTGAGGAGCCTGACAGCGATTTATCCTCCATAATGAGTTGTATAGCAACCTCGGGGAGCAAAACGCGGTTGATAAAGTCTTTGGGACTCAATGGGGAGACCACCTCTGGCTGGATGTCTTCAGGCGGGAAAAGTTCGAAAAGGGTCTGGTGAATGATGACAGAGCCAAGTTCACCGTAACTAAAGGCAGGAGCGGGTTAGTCATGGATTATACACTTTGGAGGATAACAAGGTACTTACTACCCAGGTTGGGTCTTGTCAAAGTTGGCAAATTGATTCTTGACATTCCCAGCTGCACGAGTACCTTTCTCCTTGACATCGTTCATCGCTTCCTGCCAGAAAACGCATCCATCTCGGGCTCGCTTCATATTCCGACTCTTCCCCGGAATCTCCCAGGGGCTATCGTCGTCGTCGTCGTCATCTCCCTCTTCATCTCCCTCTTCGTCAAATCTGGAATTAGACTTTGGACTGACAACGATGGAGTTTTCCGTCAACGCTCGCAGATGATCCTTCATATTCATGACACGCTCGTGGATCAAACTCCACTCGATGGTTTTGGGCCATCCTTTGGCTTGAGCTTCGGGGAGTATTTCGCTCTCGAACCGATGACGTTGGCATACGTTAATGAAGACAGTAACTTCTGCTTTCCGGCCCATTGGGTTGGTTGGTCGAGGGTTACGGACAGATTTCTTGACAGTAGTAGCGAGGAGGTGTTTGAGATGAGGTGTTGGGAAAGGAGGGAGCGGTTCGTCGCAGTAGGGACAAAGAGTCTTGGCGTCCACCGAGGGATCATAGACTGGAACAGGATCTAAGTAATCAGGTGTAGAAGCCAAATCATAGGCTTACAATAATCATCCTCCTCGTCATCACTAAGACCTTGGAGGGGTGAAGATAATCTACGCGTTGAAGGATTAGAACGATGGAGAGAGCAATGTAGAGCTTGACATACGCATCTTCTCGGCGTCTCTTCTTCGAGGGACTGTCATCCTCATCAAGAAATCGACTAGAAGCCCTCTTGCCAGTAAGTTTTCGAGAAGGACCAGCCTTGGCGAGCAATGGGAAAGGCGATGTTACCCGGACATCAATACTCTTCTTCTTCGAGTATGCCCTTGCATCTCTAGATCGATCCTGGTCAAGCTCTTCCTTGGAGCTATCTTGTCGCGTTGATTTCTTCCCCGACCTCTCTGATACTTTCTTCGTCGTCTTTGGAGAAACATTGGGAGATAAAGGGAAGGCAGCGAAAGGAGGGTTAGCTTTGGGTGTAGGTGCATTTTCAGGGGAAAATGACACGGGGAAGGGCTGAGGTTGGAGTTTCGGTTGTGGTTTCGGTGTCTTCTTGGGTGTTGTGTCAGGTGATACTGCAACAGGGAAAGCTGCGGGGGCCGGCTGTTGTTTACCGACGGGAGGATTGAAAAGAGCGGATGCATAAGTGGGTGACGAGGGTTTCTTCACGGGTATGGATTTCGGTTTAGATCTGTCTTTCCTAGACAGAGGCTCTGGATCAACCTTTTCCTTCTGCTTGCCCTTGCCCTTCTTGACCTGACGAGCCGGCATGGTCTCGGACTCCTCACCGTCACCGGAAGATGTTTCAATCTCTACTACCGTTTTTCTGTTCCTGTTCCCCGTAGTTGCCCCGCTAGGTTTTCTGGATGAAGCTGCGCGCGGCTGGGAAGCAGATTTCGCCAATGTTTTCGATGGCGGTAAAGAAACATTGTTGGAAAGGTTAGGGCTCTTTAATTCAAGAACACCAGACGTTGGTTCTCGAGGCTTGTTTGGAATGGCGTTACTGTTTTCTGATTTCTTCCTGGTGAATTTTAGAGTCTTTATAACCTCGCTGCGCGAACGCTGATGTTCTGGATCGGTGGAATTACAGGAAAAAGACTGCGGTGGCTCTTTCATGAGCTCATCTTCTGATGCAACCGCATTCGATAGACAGTCCAGCTCGTCGTCGTCTTCATCATCGGACAAGATTTGAACGACATCTTTGGGAGAACCGCGTTTGACGCGCTGCTTTCCGGTTGCATTTAGAGCCGAGGGTTTCTGTGTGTCCTTGGATGATTTCGACGCGAATGATGAGCCGATATCCTGAACAAGCTGGCCAGTGCCACGGGGATTCGGCGGTTTCTTCCTCCGTATCGATGGGTCAGAGTCAAAGCTACTCCCCTTTCGAGCCATATTATTATACAGTCCCTCCATCAGCCCATATGAGATTGCGTTCTTGTCTTCAGAGGATAGAAGAACTGGAGTTAAAAGTTTGGAGAAACGGCGTTGAGCATACTTCACGTGATCACATAAGAGCGCTAAATTCTACGCGACCAATTGTTCACGTCAATTTGAATCAGTGCAGTCCGCTCTGATTCCCTATGCTGCGCACACGCTCTCTGACCAACAGAAGAAACTCTCGACCTACAACTTCTCTTTTTGTTGTCGCTTCTCAAGAACGTCCCAAACTCCAGAACCGACGTCTTCCTTTGGAGCTCATAGAAAATATCATCTCTGAAGTTTTACCCAACGACCGAAGTGATGCCAGGACCGTCTTTTCTGCGATTGCGTCTGTAACGCTGGCCTCAACAACTCTACGGTCTATTGCTCTTAAGATTTTTCTCAGAAGAATTTGCATACAAGATGCTGCATGCTATACCAGCATATTCGAAATGATCTCGATGTACCAGGTCAGGAATCCGGATTCGGATGGATTTGGTCTGATAAGGTCAATATATGCGTCCAGATGGTAGATACTTGGACTGACCGACTGATTCCATAGAGCGATGACGATCGGTGACACTCACGTCAGCCCAGTGAATGTAATCGAGGGCTCGACAGGATTAAACAACCTTTTCAGACTCCAAGATCTTTCCTTGTGCTTCTACAAGGAAGGTTTTCGGACTCAGAATATCGTCTCTAACCGCATACTTCCCGCTTTCGCGTCGACCACACTCTCTATCCTGACCATCGATATGCTACCCCGAATCGACCTTGCTTTGCTTTCCCTGATTTCCACTTGCTTTCCTGGATTGAAAAATCTTTCACTCGACGTAACCAAGCGTCTCTACTACAACTACTGCCGCGTTGAATGCGATTGCTGGTCATGCTTCCTGTCTCTTTTCGACGACCTTCTGCACTCTCCAGTTCCGCACGTGTACGGGAACGTATCGTTGCTTGCGGTAAGTTTTAACACTGGGCGTTCAGGTCGATATTGACCGTCTATCATAATCATCAGGAAGCTTATGGTAATAGTTTGACACCTCTCGACCAGCTTACCCAGCTACAGCTGGGCATCTTCATCTCGGACGAAACTATGATCTATGAACACGCCGAGGCTCATCGAGATATGGACATCTTACCTAGACACATCGCCACAGGTCCTTCCGCTTGTTCCCGTTGTAATGAAATGCTTGCCAGCGTTCGAGCCAATGAAGTGCTCGCCAGTACGATCATGTTCAAAAAACTCACTAGTCTTCAACGAATGAGTTGGAGTAGTTTCTTTCAGCGCGCAGGAAATAGGACGGATCAAGGACAACAAGAAGGCGATCTATTTTATCC